ATGGCTCTCGTTCTAGAGGTGTATAGTCGGGTCGATCGGGTGATGGCTCTAGGTGAGGTGATGGCTCTCGAATTGGAGGAAGTGGATGCTGCTCATCATCCGTGCCATCAAAAAAACTCTGAATAGCTTGCCACCAATCAGTGGCAAGCTCTTCCTCCGTGGGTGTCAGTCTTTGTAATGGAATGTTGGCCTCCTAAAATATAAAAACTCAAACAAAGTTAAACGTCTACTATTAATAACTTGTTTATATATATATGAAAGTATTTGTGTTAACTTACATTATTTATTGTCGCATATGGTATTAAGTCTTCCCAATCCAACAGAGTTTTCCTCTTCCAGGAAATAGCCCTGGGAATATCATTTGACGTTTTTATTGCATATGTACGCATGCTGGGGAAAGCCTCGAATATCCAAATCTACAAACAATATAATAACAAAATTAGTAATTGTTAAATAATTAATTATAATTTTAGAAACATTATATAGAAATTCTTACCTTAAAGGCCCAAACAAAGCCTGACAAAGTGTATTTGGACCCATCGCCCCGCAAACTTTTGCGGTCATCAAAGGCAGACGACAACTTAGTCCAGGTAGCTTTCCATATATATGAACCCCACGGAAACAGATTCCATGCATTCAGGTCCTCTACCAATATTATTAGCTCCCGATGAATAGGTTGTCTGGCCTCTCTGCCTAAAAAGCCGGCATACACAAGTAGTAGAAGGCATACTCGGACAACATCGACGTCATCCATCCGAGTGAAACCAGCTTTCTTATTAAATAATTTCTTCAGGTCGTCGACATGTAGGTTCGGCTTCTCCATTGACTCATCCGGAAAAACCCGGGATAACCATGATGGGCGGGCGATATGACGAGTGTACCGGCCTACATCATCGTGTCCGAATCGTAGACCAGTGATTAAGCAGAACTCCTTCCGCCCAAAACAAGTATACGCTGGTGGAAAATGAAACCATATCTCTTCCTCACCACGTTGTATACTGTCGGGTAGATTTGATGTCATGGTCTGAAGCCATAAATGGGTCAAATTAGCATCTCCACCCGGATGCTGTACTCTCAGCCATGGCCCGAAGCAGGTTTCCTCAAACAATTGTCTTTGAGCAGGTGAAAGCTTCGAAGCAATTGTAGTGGCCAGGCTGACTTTATTTCTCAAGGTCAATTGAGCCGAAAAAAATTTCTACAAAAACAATAAACATACCAAGTTAGATATACCAAAAACTACACTGTGAAGATATACTAAAAACAATAAACATAAAAAGTAGTAGTTTATTCTTGAAACTAAATTTGCAACACTGTTTTGTCTTTGGGTTGAAATGAAAATCGCAACGAGAGAATCGCAACGCGAAATGAAAATCGCAACGAGAGAATCGCAACGCGAAATGAAAATCGCAATGCGATTTTGGTTTCGCGTTGCGATTCTCTCGTTGCGATTTTCATTTCGCGTTGCGATTTTCATTTCTCTCGTTGCGACAGTCATTCTCTCGTTGCGACTCTTCTGCAAATTGAAACTTGAATGGATTGCATTACTTCAACCAAAAGACAGAACAAAGACAAAGACAAATACTAACTTGAAAATCGCAACGACAGAATCGTAACGCGAAATGAAATCTAAGTGAAATGGTTAATCTATTATTGAAATGACCAGTAAACTTATCATCAGTTTCAATATGAAAAACCTACAATAATGCAAACATTTCAAAATAAAAATAATTAAAAAACTAACCCTCGGAGGTTGATTTTCCATTTCTGAATATTGTGAGGGATTTCTGACCGTGAATGGTTGTGAGGGATTTCGCCGGAGATGGGGACGGAAATATTCGGAGATGGGGACGGATTTCTTCGCCGTAGAGAGTGAGAGATGGAGATGGGACTGAGTTGTGATTTTAGGTTTTAGGTTATGAGTTGCGATTACGGGATTTTGTCTTAATATTCGTTTTTGTAATTTGAAAATAAAATACGCGTAGCGATTATAATGGCGCTTTAAATATCGCGTTGCGATTTACGGATTCTCGTTGCGATTTACGGATTATCGTTGCGATTTACGGATACGCGTTGCGATATACGGATACGCATTGCGATTTACCCATACGCGTTGCGATTTACGGATACACGTTGCGATTTACGGATACGCGTTGCGATTTATGTGTTCGCGTTGCGATTTAAATATTCGCGTTGCGATTTTGGAAAATCGCAATGCGAATTTGTACTATCGCATTGCGATTTTCAAGAATCGCGTTGCGATTTTGGAAACTGATTTGCGATTCTGGGGATCGCGTTGCGATTTTTATTTCGCGTTGCGATTTTATTGGTCATTTTGGCAAATCCAAAAAAAAGTTGGTTAAAATCGTATATTATAACTTTTTTTTGGTCACTGAGGCGATTTTCTCTTTTTTAATTATCTAAAAATATATGGGCTAATATCAAATTAGACATTCTAGTTTTAGTTTATTATTATTTTGTCCTTCATTTTTATGGTAATTATATTTTACCCCTATTTTCTACGATTAATTATACTTTGTCCCCTTTATATCTTAACCACGTCCTTGAAGATGATGTTGAAACAATAGGTTCAATTAAGAAGATCACCCGTCTAAAAGATAAAATATTGGTTGAAGTTTGACTTCATATTTCATGAAATCCAAGTAAAAGGATTAAAGAAAGAGAGACTACATGAGTAAAGAGTTAAAAAGTTTACAAGTTAACTACAAGAAACTTTGTTCGCATCAACGTCAAATAATTTTCGTGCACATGTTATTGCCTTATTCAACATCATCGGAAGAGTCTTAGTGGATTGTTCAGAATATTGTTTATAGGACAATAATATTTAAGTTCATATTTTGTTATCGACTTCAATTGATTTAAGAAATGAATTGGTTTAATTTAATAAATTTTTGAATTTTAATTTATGGATCACTCTAATGGCTTGAATGTGACACATCTCCACGAAATCATTCAGGTTGGATATAAGTTGTTACATAAGTTAATGTCAACTTGAATCATGAGCCATTGCACCATCTCAGTTAAAGATTTAATTAATAATATAGATACATTAAAAGAAGATAGTTTATGTAAAAATTATAATTATAAAACTATCCACATTAGTGTCGAGTTAACTTATGTCACCAGCTCAGTAAGAGGCTTAAGCAAAAGTATACATACATTAAAAATAGAAAATAAATAATTTATATAAAAAATATTTGTAAAATTAAATACAATAACAATAGTTGCTTTATTTTAATACTTTTTAAAATATAAAGAATTAACCCTGTTAAAAAGAATATTTTTTATACTTAATAGACAAGATTATTCCCCTCTTGACACAACGACACCCATTCTTTTCTAAATTTTATATTCATACACTTAAAATAACAATTTCAATGACCGTTTGCTGGAGTAGTAAAGTCTTGAAAATAAACTTAACCACAAAAGATACTTTCTATGAATTCTTATATAAACAAATTTAGTCATTAAATAATTTTTAATCTGTAAAATTAAAATAAAATCAAATTTCATTACCAGTTGAGACTTTTAAATCAATAAAAATGGCTGTCATTTTTTCCCATATGTATGGGGTAAGGGGGAGGTAAGATAGTAGGCTACCCCCAACAACAGGTTGAGAGCAGCTTCCGTAAGAGACCTCCGAATTATGAAATACCCTCCGTGAGACTCGATCCCACGACCTCAAGATTAAGAACCATATGTAGTCAATATGTATCGTTTTTGTTTTTTCTATTTTATCTAACGCCGCCTCTTTTTAATGACTATCAAATCATTAAATTTCAAACAGACTAAAATTTTTAATATATATATAAAATTAAAAATACAAAGGTTCCTGGAAAATAAAAATATTGTTTTAATAATTAGTTAAAAATAAGTGTCAATTCTTTAAATAGGTTAGAACATGATACCATCCTCGTAAAAGAAATCCATACATACATATCTTAGTATCTTTCATCAAACTGGCAGGTAGACCGACCAGTCAAATTTTTATATATAGTAATGTTTCTTCTCGTACACCAATAATATAATACTTACAAACAGTAACTACTACATTTTTTTAATCATATTTCATCTTCATTCATTGCACCAGTTTCACTTCCATCAATCTTCAAGCTAACGACCCCTCAATAGGGTTGTAAATGAGACGAGAAAGATCGCGAGCTATTTGAGATTGACTCGATCAAAGCTCGATAAATATTCGGATCGAATGGACTTGACTCGAGCTCGAGCTCGACTCGAGTTCTTAACGAGTCGAAACGAGCTACTCGATATTCGACTTAAAAAGTTCGTGAGCAGCTCGAAAATATAATATATTAAGATTTTTTTTTAGAAATAAATTATTAATAATATTAATATTTATGTATTGATTTTTTTATTAAAAAAAATACAGTAAGATTTCTTGTATTTAAAGTTCGAGTTTGAGTTTGAGGTTTCAATTGAGTTAAGTTTAATAATTTTTTTTTCATTTCGAGCCTTTTCGAGCTGTTCACGAGCTTCAGTTTAGGATTTCGTGTTCGAGTAGAGCTTGAAAATTTTAAACTCGCGAATTTTCGAGTCGAGTCGAGCTTCATTTCAAAGTTTTCGAGTCGAATCGAGCTCAACAATACTCGAGCTCGAGTCGGCTGGTTTACACCCCTACCCCTCAATATATATATTTATCAGGAGCTACGGGTTATTTCTTGAGCAACAAAAACAAATCTTTCCTCAAAGTCATCCATTCTTAAATTTGTCTTAGTCTGACCCTTCTTCTTCTTCCTCGGACTTCTCCCTGTCTACCCTTCTTTTTTCCTTTTCTGTAGTTTGCGTTTTGCTTCTTCTTCTTCTTTTTTTAGGTTTTGTTGTAGGAACAAAAGGGGTTTTATGATTTAAGCTACAGATCATGATAAGATATCTGATGTGTTTGTGATTTATGTTTCTTCACTAAACTCTATATCCCCAAAGGGGTCCTTTTTTTCCTTTCTTTTTCTCATTTCTGACATTGATATTATTCAGCTAAAATTTGAGAGTGGAGTGAATGGCTGTGCAGCATAGTAACAGGCTCCGGAATATGTTGCAGGCGATAGTGCAGTCAGTTCAATGGACGTACAGTATTTTCTGGAAAATTTGTCCCCGAGAAGGGTGAACTTTCTTCTTTACTATTTCTGAAATACAAGTTAGTTCAGTATCTTTGGATATAATTATCAATTTGAGTTTGTTTAATTAGGATCTTAGTATGGTCGGACGGATACTACAATGGAGCAATCAAGACACGAAAGACAGTGCAACCAATGGAGTTAACTTCGGAAGAGGCGTCCTTGAAAAGGAGCCAACAGCTTAGAGAACTATACGAGTCGTTATTAGCTGGCGAGACGAACCAGCCAGTCCGGCGACCGTTCGCAGCATTGTCGCCGGAGGACTTAACCGAGCCCGAGTGGTTCTATTTGTTGTGTTTCTCCTTCTCTTTCCCTCCCGGCGTAGGGTGAGTTTAAGTTCTTCCCAAATTTTTTCCTCAGTACTGTACTTTTCTTCTCTCAATTCCACTATGTTTCCATTAACCTAAATATAATTTTTTTTTGACTATGTTGAACTGATATGGATACGAGGACGGATACTATACGAATATTAAAAGGGGTAATTTTTAAAGTTATAAGGTATTATATATAATTTTGTTTTTATAAATATAAGTCAAATCTCAATATTCAAATCATAATATTAACTCTAGAACAATGTAATCAAGAAAGAAACCATAATATTAGAAATTGGAAAACAACCTTTGAACCGGACTAAGCACACTGGAAATTAGTCGGACTAAGCACATTGTTTTGATAAAAAAAAAAGGTTCAAACAAAAGACTTGATTTGATAAAAAAAATCAATCAAAATAAGCACTTAAACATGCTAATTTGAACTAAGCACACTAGAAACCATCATTTGAACCGGACTAAGCACACTGGAAATTAATAGGACTAAGCGAATTGTTTTTAACCGAACTAAGCTTCAAGACTGAAAAAAACATGTTAATTTAAACTAAGCTTCAAGACTGAAATTACATTGGGGCATTTTTCAAGTTTCAAAAGATGGAAAACAAGCAATAAAATAAGAAAAAACGAACATTGAAAAAACGATTCTATAAAAAGTTTTTCAAAGCTGCTTATCTCCTCCTTCCTTTCTCAGTTGGTTCCCCTTCGTTTCCAAGACATCCCACAATTTCGAATAATAACAAGCGAAGAAGATTAGAAGAGAAGTGCAAATGCTGAGATTGTCTTGTGCTTCTCAAAATTAGGTTTTCTTTATTAATTTTTTTAATGCAAAATTATCCCGGAGACGCATGTGATGGTCACATGCCGTCCCCGAATTCTTTCAACCGTATTCACCACCGTGGTACGTCTCCGGAACATCCCCGTTCCGGGAGCAGGTACTTGAAACGTGGAAGTAGTACCGTCCCGTGCTTCATAGGTGCTGGAATCTGCCAGCAAAAGTAGAAAAATGAAGAATAGAAACTTATGAGTGGGATGATCTTTTTGTTGTTGTAAACTCTTTGTCATGCTTCCTAGCTATTTTCTTCTTTCCATTCCAAGATTTTACTACAATTATCATATTCACCACACAATTCAGTATTTTGCTTCTTCCTACATGGATAAGCTTTGCTAATGGAGTGCTCTTTCTTCCTTGTTCTTTTTTTAAATAATCCAGTTGGTTATAAGTTATTATTTGTTCAGAATTTTTCTTAATCATTCATAATGTGCATACCTTACAGACAAAGTTGTTCGAATCCGAAATCTCCATAAAAAAATAACTCTTTGCTTTACGCCCGAGATCGCCCGATGGATTCTCTTTCTTTCTCATTCAGTGTAAGAAAATGGGGATTTAGCTATTACAACCGTTATTTCAAGGTAAAATAGAGTAATTACTACAAATTTACAAACGAATTTTGTTGTGTAAAGAAATTGAAGCAATCGATTCAGGTTTGATGGTGCACTTGATGAGAGATTAGGTGAGAGCCCTTCCGGGTGATTAATGAGTTAAGTAGTTTGTGAACAATTTGAACTCGATTCGATAAAAATTCGATTTGGGTTTACTCGACTCAAACTCGAGCTCGACTCGAGACCTTAACGAGTTGAGTCGAGTAAAGTCTAACTCGGCTCGATAAGTTCACGAGCAGCTCATTTTTTATAATTTTTTTACTAGTTATCTTTAAAAAAATTACTAATTTACTAATAGATGATAAATATCTAATCTATTAATTTTCTAATAAAATACTAAATTATAAAATTATTATTATTTTACTACACCCAAAAATTAAACCCTAATTATTATTTTAATGTATTTGTGAATTTTTATTTTGAAGTTTAGATTTTAAATTTGTTTTATACACTCTTTTGATAATTTTTAGTTAAATTTATCAATTTAAATTTGTATTAAGCTTTATATAGTATTAATATATTTTACCTATAGTATAAAAAATAAGATAAAAATTTTGGTGAGCTTAACGAGCAATGAGACAAGCAACAAGTCGATCGACAAGTTTTTTTAATGAACATAGTTGAGAAAAATTTTAACGAACTTAACAAACAACAAGTTGAGTTGAGCAACAAATTTTTTTAACGAGCACGAATTAAACACTGTCTAACTCACGATCGACTCGCTCGATAATCACCCCTAACCGCTATTAATGTGGTTGTCTTGTTCAATGATTTGGGGCTAATGAAATTCTTTCTCTCCTTTGCAGTTCCAATTTGTCTTTTGATATACTTGATTGGAAAAGTAAACAGGTTCATGAAGAATATATTCCATCATACAATTTTCCCTGAAACTGCTGTCAAAGCACTTGAAATTGGTAAAATAATAACCAATGAGTGAATGCTAAATGCATAGTGGTGGTTCACAGTCATGGCATTTTTTTTCTATACAATGAGGAAACAAGAACCAAAAAACCTTCATAACCTTGAAAGCTTAAACCATACTCAGCGACCACAGTAATCATTGCTCTCGAGATAGATTAGAGTAGATTATCAATAAAAAAATTTAAAATTATATAATAATTTAAAATTTTCACTCCTCCTCAGTCCATCTCCCAGCTCCTCCTTTTACTTAGACCAAGGAATCTAAGGTAGCACTGTAGACGTACTTAGTATTCTGTAACTAATAACTAGGATGATCACGTTATAAACTCTTTGAACTTGGTGTGTTTCGGTATAAAAACAACTTAATTAGCCATATATATATATACATACATATTATGGATATATGGGTACTGAATGTCTTGATTAATTTATTGTATTTCATTACTTAACATCAAATAGCAGTTGTATTTCAAGTACACATATATTTTATGTTTGCTGTAGGTTACCAGGGAAGGCATATGCAAGGAGGCAGCATGAATGGCTTACAGGCGCAGATGAGGTTGACAGTGAAACTTTTTCAAGAGTTATTCTTGCCAAGGTATATTAACTTGAGGATTTTTTTTATCACCGTTAATAATTCAGAGCCAAAAGGAACCTTGTTTCTTGATAATAATGTACTTGAGGATTATAACTCAGTGCACTAACTATGCTGTATCTTGGTGTTTGTCAACATAAATACAAATGGCGCCTTACGGTTAGAGTGCTTGTATACAGGTATATCTACTATTGAATCCATGCAGATTAAATTGCTTCTCTGGTTCGCTTCTTGTTAATTAATTCACTTTTGGGTTGATAATGAAGCATTTCGTTTCTTTTTTCTTTTTGTTGTAGACTGTGCTTTGCATTCCTGTCCTTGACGGAGTTTTTGAACTTGGAACTACGGAGAAGGTAATCCTGCTTGTTTCACTAGAAAATGAAAATGATAATGAAGGGTTCTTCTTCATGCAATTAATTGCATTTCAGGTTGAAGAGGATCTAGAGTTAGTCCAGCATTTCAAAACCTTCTTCACTGACCATAATCATAACCCGAATCCTCCCCCGCCAAAACCGGCTCTCTCCGAACACTCCACCTCGAACCCCGCCACCGACTCCGCCGAATACACTCGCTTCCCCTCTCCTGTTCTTCCTCCTATGCAAGCAGTTCCAAACCCTAACCAAGATGATGACGACGACGAAGAAGAAGAAGAAGAAGAAAATGATGAAGAAGAAGGCGGAGAAGAAACCGGATCGTACTTTTCGGAAACGGGTCGAAATAGAAACACGCAAACCGTTGCAGTTGCCGCAACTGAGCCAATCGAGTTGATGCAGTTGGAAACATCAGAAGACATCCGGCTAGCGTCACCAGACGACGCTTCGAATAACTTGGACACATATTTTCACATGATACTAGAACCAAATAACAGTGGCGTTCACTCGGGTCTTTCAGGTAAAAAAAAAATCAGTTTTGTCTTTAGAGGCTCCGTAGTTTTTCTGGCTAACCTACACTTTGAGTACTCATCGCTTTTATTCTATTTTGATTATTTAACTAATTTTTTAAAATTATATTTAACGTCACATTCTAATTTTATTTGGATCACCGACCTTTAATAAATTAACAAAATTATTGACTAAGTATTTTTTTTAAAATTTTTTAGATGATTTCATGATATTAACTTACGATGATATATCAACATAACCGTTAATTTTTTAACTATTAATAATTAAAATAAAATCAAAATTAAATATTAAACAATTTTTAAAAAAAAATTAAGTAATCAAAATGAAATAAAAAAATGATAAATAAAATACTAAACCTATAATTCATTCTTTTTGTGTAAAATGAAATCGTGAGCCGTAAGTAGAAAATCTAGTACAAAATCTCAGTTGTAGTTGGGGAATAATAAATTGCTTGCAGACTTTATTTCCCTGTCCATGCAATGGCAGGGCCATATAGCATGTGGCGCCTGTTGGGTAGACATTGGTTCTAATAAGCGGTGTCTTGAACAATAAATAAATGGTGTCTACATTTAGGCTTTAATCAATCTTCTCCTCAGTCTGCATTTATGGTATGCAAGCTTTCAAATTAATCCTCCTCTGTATCATTGAATTTATTCATTATTAATGTTTTTATCAAAATTTTAATTTATTATTAATAAAAATATACATTTTAAAAATCATCAATCAAATAACTTTTAAATAAATATTTTAAAGAATTTAATTATTTAAAATATTTAAAGTGATATAAAAGTATAAAAATTTTAACTTTAAATATTTTAAAATATTTTTTTAAATATACAACTTAATATCTTGGATTTAATTAGATTTCCGGGAAATCAATCAAAGAGATTTGTTGAATTTGATTTGGAGTGTTTAATATTATCATTTCAACTTGGATTTTATAATGGTTTTTTTTTTGAGTATTATGCAGTGCCAGAGTCATTGGATGGACTACACCAAGAAATCAGCGGCAATTCTCAGGCCGTCTCACAGTCAGCCGGTTACCCAACCAGTTTAATCCAGTCAGCGTTTTCCAAGTGGACAATTGATTCAGACAACCAACAATTCCAAGTGGCCGTCGAAGGCACGTCCCAGTGTCTCCTCAAATACATTCTGTTTACCATTCCGTACCTCCATAGCCAGTATCGAAACGACAACTCTCCCAAGACACGTGACACCGAAACCGGCGCCGGGTTCCGATGGGGGATCCCGCCGGAGGAGCATAGCGCTAACCATGTACTAGTGGAGAGGAGGCGACGCGAGAAGCTGAACGAACGGTTCATTATATTAAGGTCGTTAGTTCCATTCGTTACCAAAATGGATAAAGCTTCCATATTAGGGGACACCATCGAGTACGTGAAACACTTGCGTAAAAAAATTGAAGAACTCGAAACACAAAGCAAGGGAATAGAGGCCAACAACGAACAGTCGAGATCAGCATATGGGCTAAACAGAACGAGTAGTATGAAGGAATTAAGAAGTGGGATAATGGTGTCGGAGTCGGAGAGGGCAAGGTCTTTGAGTCAGGAACCGGGGAGGGATAAAAGGAAGATGAGGAAGACGGTGGATTCGACGCAGCACGTAACAAGGGAGAAGACGGTGGAGGTGTCGATAATCGAAAGTGACGCGTTGTTGGAGTTGCAATGCGGGTATAGAGAAGGATTGTTGCTTGACATAATGAAGATGCTAAGGGAGAAGCTTCGGATTGAGATAACGACGGTTCAGTCTTGTTTGAATAAGGGGGTGTTTGTAGCCGAGCTGAGAGCCAAGGTAAACACCATGATCATTATTTCTATTTTCTTTTGGGAATTACGTTGTATGCTATGTTTTTTCTGTCAATGGCAGGTGAAGGATAGTGTAAAAGGAAAGAAAGTAAGCATAACGGAGGTGAAGAGGGCCATAAATCAAATACTACAATCATTGTAAAGGATCCATTTCTCAAGTCCAATCATGTTTTATCCCATTCTAATTATTATTTTTTGGATAATCAATTTATATTCATCCAAAGAAGCAACAAGCTACTACATAGTACAAATGAACAGTTAAATCAAGCTCCAGTTATTATACAACTGCCTATTCACATTATCCAACCTATTCATACTATATCTATACAGTTTGATTCTAACAGCCTCTTTAATAATATTGACAATAGAATCGGTCGAACGCATCACACTTCTAAAAAATCTGCGGTTACGCTCCTCCCATATGTAGTAAATGAAACCAGTCCAAGCAAGTTTGAGGATCTGAACAAGCAGGGATCTACCTTTTAAATTCCTAACCAACTAGCAAAGCAAATCGTCCCAGTTCAGCCAACGCTTTTGCAGCCCACAGAGCTGTAAAACGGAGTTCCAGACCTCCTTCGAGAAAGAGCAGTCCAAGAAAATATGCGTTCTGGATTCCTGCTTAGCACCACAAAACACACAATTAGCATTAGTCACCATGACAAATCTGCTCAGCCTCTCCTTTGTAGGCAACCTATCAAGGATAACCATCCATGTAATCAACGAGAACTTGAGAATATGGGCAGGGAACCAGATGATACGGTGCCAGGCCACTTTGTTTCTCTTTTCCCAAATCTTATCCCAAATCCAACTCCTATTTACTTGTGACCAACAGACAGAAGCAGTAAATAACCCTCTTGCCTCCTCGTGCATCTTAATCAGTTTCTTGAGTATCTAGCTGAAGTGAAGTCTGTTATCAATGTTCCAGTAATCCTCAACCTTAAGACATTATGCCTTAATCCAGGCAATCCATAGAGATCCAGCGTTTGCTAAAATGTTTTTAATCAGCATCAGACAACATGTTTTATTCCACCCAACCAGACTTTTCAGTCCCAAGCCACCCTCAGACTTAGTAGTGCATATCTGGTTCCCGCTAACCCTTACACCTCGAGCAGAGGAATCGTTTCTCTTCTAAAAGAACCTCATACTAGTCTTTTCTATTTCCTGGATGATTCCCTTAGGCAAAATAAGTTGCCTGCTCCAGTAATTAAAAATCTTGAACAAAAATGCTTTTATAAGCTACAATCTATCACCAAAGCTTAGCTTTCTACTAGACCACTGCCTTAACTTGTCCTTTATTTTTCCATGCAAAGCTACACAGTCTTACTTTGAGAGTTTCCGGGTCACTAGGGGCACCCCCAAGTACCTGACAGGGAGCTGGCCAACCCTAAAACCAGTTATCCTTTGAATACGTGCTAAGTCATCCCCATTAATACCGCAAGTAAAAAGCTCAGTCTTCATAACATTAAGTTTGAGCCCGGATAATTCATAAAACATATCTAAAATACTTGTCACTCCCAGCACCGAATCCAAGGAGCCATGGCAAAACAACATCAAATCATCAGCAAAGCAGAGATGTGTAAGAGAAATCCTTTTACATCTTGGATGAAATCTGAAAATTCAATTTTTGGCTGCAACATCAAGCAGATTGGATAGCACATTCATGACTATCATAAACATATAAGGGGACAAAGGGTCCCCTTGTCTAACACCCTTAGCACGTCTAAAAAACCCAACAAGGCTTCCATTCAGAGCAATTGAATATTTGAGGGTAGTAACACATATTTTGATCCAGTTACAAAATCTAGTAGGCAACCCCATTTCTCCCAGAACATTAAGCAAAAAATCCCAGCTAACAGAATCAAAAGCTTTCTGCAGATCCACTTTAATTGCGCACCTAGGCAACAGGAAATGGGTCTAAATTCTTTGGACATACAAGCATTTAAAGACTTAGGCACTAAGACTAAGGTGGTGACATTGAATGCAGGAAAAAGGTAGGAGGACTGGAAAAAATACCTCACTGCATTGAGGAAGTCTTTGTGCACAATTTCCCAAGCAACCTTGAAGAACCAGAAGGTATAGTCATCTGACCGTGGACTTTTGTCTTTCCCTTGCCTAAACACAGCTTCCTTGATTTCTCTATCTAAGATCTCTCAATCAAGGACCCTCATAGCATCAGCAGGCAAGGAATGGCCTAGGAGGTCCTTAAGCCATTCAGAAGAACAACTCATAACTTTAGGGTTAGCAGCACCAATAAGCTTACTTAGAAATCATGCAGTTCATTAGCCATGTCATCAAATGTCTTAAAAGACTGCCCATTTTCACTCTTAATAACTCTTATAGTGTTTTTCTTCTTTTTTGACTCAACCTTTTGATGAAAGAATTTTTTACTTAAGTCATCTTCTTGCAACCAGTGTATCTTTGCTTTTTGTCTGTAAAATTCCAGTTCTGCCATTTTAAGGTCCACTAAATCTGCCTGGGTCTTCTTTTCCACCTCCACTCCAATTTGATTAATACCAGCTAGGTTAGAGAGTTGAATAGCTTCTAATTCAACCCTCTTAGCAACAACCCTAGCAGAAATATCAGAAAAGTAATTTTTGTTTAACTCTTTCAAGATTGGCTTTAATCTTTTCATCTTGTTAAACAACACCTGCATGGCATTACCATCATTGTGTACAAGCCAAGAGTCCTTAACACCTCTCAGAAAATTATCATTTGTAGTCCAGTAGTTAAAGAACTTAAATGGCTTTGGTTTATGGACCTGAGCTGCTTTCTGTGTCCAAAGAATCCCAAGGCAGTGATCTGAAACTCCAGGAGCTTTGAATTCTGCATAGGAGTCTGGGAAGTCAAACAACCATTGAGAATTGATGAGAATTCTGTCTAATTTCTTAGCTAAATAAGTTTGCTCTTGCTTTTTTGACCAAGTGAAAAGTGGTCCAGTAAAAGGGTGGTCCAGCATCTCCATATCTTCAATACAATCTTTAAATTCTTCCATATATGGTGAAGAAAAGGAATCCAAGGAAGTAGAACCAGAACTCTCTTGGATTTTAGCAATTACATTGAAGTCACCCCCAATCACCCAAGACTTAGAGCCTATCTCTTCCTCCAAAGTCCTCAAGTAATCCCAAAGGCCTCTCATTGCTTGACTATTGTTGATTCCGTATAGTGTAGTAACAACCACACTGTGGCCAGCAATATCACCCATGATGGTCAGGGTCTGGTCACAGCCTCTAATCACAGTGAAGGGCATACCCTTCTTCCACAAAATCCAAAGTCTACCACCATCAATGAACTGGTAATTTGTATCATAATTCCAGTCATCTAAAATAACAGCAGACAGCTTGGGAGCATTTATACTTCTAATTCTAGTCTTCATTAAGCAAACCAAATCCACCCCTAAATTATCAAGTTTTCTAAGCACCGTACTTTGCTTGAGGGTACTATTTATACCCCTCACATTCCTGAAACAGATTATCATTCAAGGAAGAATAGGTGGACCACCACTACCAACCCCAACACCAATCACACTTACCTTAGCCTTCTCACCCATGTCATTTTTCTTAGTTTTAATCTCATTGAGCATCATAGTAACCCCCAAAGAAGCTGCTTGGGGCTTCCTGACACTATCACAACCTCCACCAGCTGCCAATAATTCCATTTTACTAGAGGGCTTGATCCAGCTGAGCATGATCTACGACAGCCAAAGGAGCAGAATCATTCCTCTCTTAGAAGGCCTCCACAGGAATTTCTTCAGCAGCACCAACCTGTAGCTCAGTACTACCAGGGCACTCAATCCTAGCATCAGAACTGAAAGAACTAGGAAAAGTAGAAGAGCCAGCCTCTTTTCCCTTAACCTAAAAAGGAATAGCCTTTTTCCTCCAGATCAGAGTTTCTTTATTCTTCAAAGCGACAGTTGATGATACCTCTGCACATGCATTATAATGATGTCCAAAGACCTTACATCTCGTGCAGGACTTAGGCAGCCATGGAACATAAACCCTGACTCTCACTACAGTTCCATCATTCAGCACAACTTGGATAAGCTCATTGATCTCAGCACCTACTCCAATTTTCACGCATACCTTAACGTACTCCAGCCTCTCTTTAGATGCGGTGATAGAATCCATATACAATGGGTGCCCTATAGCACTAACAATGTAGATAAGGCCCAGCCTAGTGTATAGTTCCAGGGGTACACTATACAGCTGGATCCAGATCGAGATATGCTTAAAATCAAAATCAAGCCTCTCTAAGTTTGGCTCCCACTTTCTCAATACAAGCGGCTTGTTTTGTATATGCCATGGACCGTTCTCGAGTATCCAATCTCTAATATCTTTATTCGAAAAAGAGAAAATGTAGAGATTTGAACCAGTGAGACTGACCTTTACAGACGAGGTTTTCCCCCACATGATTTCTGCAATTCTTTGCATCGAGCCAAAATTTGGAGCTACCCCTGTGAATTGTCCGACAATTGCATATCTCCATTCAGCAATTCCCTCGTCAATCACAGTAGAATGAGGCTTCACAATGGAAATCCCCTCCTCGACCTCAGGTGGAAAGAAATTTAGGGATTGTTCTTTAACTCCCCCAAATAACTTCTTCCAATCCAAATTCGAAGCCATTTGATAACCCAACAACTTCAACTGACTCTCGATACTCATAATCAACAAAGAAATAAGAGAAATCAGCAACGACGAAGCTAGCATGAAAACCCATTAGTCCAGCTAACGTGCGCCCAGAGAGAGTTCATCGTCGCCCAGAAATGTCAGTCTAATTATTGATTTAATATTATCGGTAATATAACATAAAAATAAAAGAAACGCTGAGGGAAACAAACCTGTTCAAGTACAATGATTAAACTTGTAAGTGCCATTAAGCATTCGATGTTCTTCTTCCTAATTGACAAAATTCCAGAATTTTACAGAACTTGGGGAAGTAGGACAACCTGATGATTAAGTTGTGCGTTGCAGACTCAAAAATTTGTTCATGGTACTCCCTTTGTTTTCTAGTGTAAATGAGAAGAGACTTAATACAACATTTCATGCATGCTTCCATCTTCTCCAAATCTTCTTGTGATAGTAGAGTCTTCCTACCACTGCCACCTGATCTTATCATTCGGTTGAGCCATTTTTATTAGGAACTGCATTGTCAGTTTTCCTACTTCTTTGACTTTCTTTTCTTTGTACATTTCATATGCAGAAAAGGTTATTCATTGCCACCACAATGCAATTTATACACAAGTGTTAACCTCCTAACTGACTGTAACTGCAAAATCGTTCACAACAAATTACTTTCCTAGCACGTGTAAATTCTAACATGCAACCCCCACCCCCCACCCAAAAAAAATGAAGTTTGATATTTAATATACCGTAAGTTTGATATTTAAATATTTACCTGTAAGGGGCCAAATACATACCTATTATTTTAGATTATATATTAAATATAGCTCAATATATTAAGAGAAAATAACCTCAGTGACCAAAAATGCCTTATAATATACGATTTTAACCAACTTTTTTTGGATTTGCAAAAATGACCAACTAAATCGCAATGCGATCGATAATTCGCAACGCGATCTCCAGTATCGCAAATCAGTTTCCAGATTCGCAACGCGAATTTCGACTATCGCAACGCGAACTTCGACTATCGCATTGTGATTTACATATTCGCATTGCGATAGTCCAAGTTCGCGTTGCGATAGTCGAAGTTCGCATTGCGATTTTCCAAATTCGTTGCGGTAGTCCAAGTTCGCGTTGCGGTAGTCCAAGTTCGCGTTGCGGTAGTCCAAGTTCGCGTTGTGATTTTCCAAATTCGTTGCGATAGTCGAAGTTCGCGTTGCGATTTATTCCAAATTCATTGCGATTTATTCCAAATTCGTTGCGATAGTCGAAGTTCGCGTTGCGATTTATTCCAAGTTCGGTTCGATAGTCGAAGTTCGCGTTGCAATTTATTTCAAATTCGTTGTGATAGTTCAAGTTCGCGTTGCGATTTTCCAAATTCGTTGCGATAGTCGAAGTTCGCGTTGCGATTTATTCCAAATTCGTTGCGATAGTCGAAGTTCACGTTGCGATTTATTCCCAATTCGTTGCGATAGTCCAAGTTCGCCGTTGCGATAGTCGAAGTTCGCGTTGCGATTTATTCCAAGTTCGTTGCGATAGTCGAAGTTCGCGTTGCGATTTATTCCAAGTTCGTTGCGATAGTCGAAGTTCGCGTTGCGATTTATTCCAAATTCGTTGTGGTAGTCCAAGTTCGCGTTGCGATTTTCCAAATTCGTTGCGATAGTCGAAGTTCGCGTTGCGATTTATTCCAAAATTCGGTGCGATAGTCTAAAATCGCAACGACTGGTGGTATTGAATTTGTTTCTTAAGAATTTTCTCTAAAAAGATATTATTCGCGCGGACGTGTCGAAGCCACGTATTACCACGACCACGGTCACGACCCGAGACAGACGGCGGCGGCGACGCGCGAGAGTCCCCTTGTTCTCTATCACTCAACAAGGAAGTGGGAAAGCCAAGCCTTAAATACCATTCCCAATAGTTTTTCCAATACTATGTGGGATTGAGTATTACCAACACTTGTTTCCAATACTATGTGATTATTCAGGAAACAATTCACAATCATGCACCTTAAAACAACTGAATCAACAACCAATTGCATTAGTATTATACGATTAAATATATCATAATTAAAAGTCAATCTACAATCAATCGCGATTATTGTAATTTTAAGCAAAACATTCAAAAATAATATCACTATTTAAGGCTCAATCCCACATAGTATTGGGAACAAGTGTTGGTAATGCTCAATCCCACATAGTATTGGAAATACTATTGGGAATGATATTTAAGGCTTGGCTTTCCCACTTCCTTGTTTAGTAATAGAGAACAAGGGGGACTCTCGCGCGCCGCCGCCACCGTCCGTCTCGGGTTGGGTCGTGGTCATACGTGTCTTCGACACGTCCGCGCGAATAGTATCTTTTTAGAGAAAATTCTTAATAAACAAATGCAATACCACAAGTAGTTGCGATTTTGGACTATCGCAACGAATTTGGAATAAATCGCAACACGAACTTCGACTATCGCAACGAATTTGGACTATCGCAACGAATTTGGAATAAATCGCAATGCGAACTTCGACTATCGCAACGAATTTGGAATAAATCGCAATGCGATAGTCAAAGTTCGCGTTGCAAATCTGAAAACTGATTTGCGATACCGTAGATCGCGTTGCGAATTATCGATCGCATTGCGATTTAGTTGGTCATTTTGGCAAATCCAAAAAAAGTTGGTTAAAATCGTATATTATAAGACATTTTTTGTCACTGAGATTATTTTCTCATATATTAAAGGAAGAAAAAAAAATAAGAAAATTTGTATACCCTTATACTAAAAAAATATTATAGTTTTTAGATTCCATTTCTAAATTTCTAGATCGTCTCCAGCCTCAAGGATATCTACATATGATTTCTATCCAAGCAGACAAATCCACTATGCAAGAGCCGTACTTGTTTTTAGAATTAAAAGCCACCTATTGCAGACAAAAATTATCCTCGACACTCGAACATTCAACACACATACACCAGCAAACAAGGCGTCACAATTATGAAGCTAAAGAAACATTTTAATTTCAAACGACCTTGCTCAGAGCTTTTCCTTTCTTATAACACAAGAGGGCTATCATCGTCTCTCATCTCTTTCTCTAATCAAACAAGCAAGACAAGAGGATTCTAATCAAACACCATGTTATAGGAAAACATAAGAACCAATTTAGAGCTCGTGAATGTTATGAATGAAGCTCACAACACTCAAATGGTCAAAACCCTCAAGAAATCATAAGCTTGCTCTACACCATACTCCATAAAAGATATGGAACTTAAACTCAAGCTCTATGAATTCTAGAACTAAAACTTATCTTCTTTTGACCCAAGTCCTCACAAAAATGACCAAGCTTGCACCTTGAGCCATGGGATTTCTAAAGCTAGGAAGATAAAGGTGAAACGAGAAAGGAAAGATGAAGCAGAGTGGAGTGAAAAAGCATTAAACTTTTCCCCGGCCCCAGATTTCTCACGTATTATATAAGCATAATTAAGGGAATTCAGTCTTGTTTCCCTTTAATGGAATAATTTACTATGTGGTCCTCTTTAACTAAAAAATTCACTTTTTATAATCATTAGGCCTACATTTTGTCCGACAATTTTAACTACACTCTCACATTATTCTATAGACCCCTCGGATCAATCCTCATGTTGAGTAAAAAATCCAGGTCGTTACGAGCTATGTGAAGCCTCAGGCAGTGCTCGTAGGGGCTCAATGGTTTGAGCAATGTGAGGGTGAAAGTCTGGTGGTCCCTGGTGAGCTAGGTGAAGGCAGGGGCTGTGCTTGTTGGGGCTCGATGTTGTGAGCAATGTGAGGGAAAATAACTCGAGAGAGGACAACAGATTTTTTGGCGTGGATAGGGGTTGTCATCAGTAAGTGAAGGTTGTCAAGGGACAACAGGGTATATGATGACGGTGACAAATGGTAAAAATGATGGTGTCAATAGTAATGTGATGAGTTGAAAGAGATGCAGAAAGATACCTCGTTTGGGCTGCTTTATTGCTAGCAGATCTTGTTACTAGGGCTTTGTGGACTTTAACCCTTAGCTAATTGGGTTGGTGTAACAAATCTCAAATTTTCTTTTAAGCGCACCAATTTCCCCTACAGGTGTGAAATCAAGAGATTCCAGAAACGTGTTCTCTGCGGCATAATACAAGCATTCTAAAATTGTATTTCCATGACAGATTGTCTGTTCATCAACAGCCATGGTAGCATTTCTTGCCTATTATCATTCACGATAAGAACTATGAATATTGAAACAAAGTATTATTGTTTGTATTGCCTTTTTTTTCTTTACGTGATCAAGTAACTATCCTTCCTATTTCATCACGAAAAAAAGGTATAGCCACTCAATTAAGTAGTGGTATTAATTTTCTGTTTTTTATGCCCTTGTAAAAGCTCCGAAGAAACTTCGAACAGCTACCACGTCCATCATCAACACATTAACTTAGCTAACGATCACACATACACGCAGCAAAGAGATAATATTGTTCGGTGACACACATCATGTATTAGTATCATAAAATTTATCATTTAAAATTTTATAAGTTTACTCACTAACAAAAAATCATTAGGAATGGAAACGGGGCGGGTTTTTCTCCCCCCGTCCCCGCCCTAATCCCCGTCAGAAATTTTTTTTGCCCCGTCCCCGACCCGAAATGTTGTACCCGAACCCGACGCGATCCCGAGAAAAACCGTATTTTTCATTTAAAAAATAGGAAAAACGATCACAAAAAATGAAAATTAGTCTACATTATTTACAATTCAAACTACAATCACAAATTCAAACCCAATTATAAATAATTGCCTAAACTCCAAAATAAAACACATATATAATTAAACACATACATAATTATAAAAACTAGGGTTTATGGTTTAAATGTTTAGGGTTTGTATTATATAATTAATATAAAAATAAAAAATATTATATATAATTAATATAAAAAAATAAAAAAGTATATATATAATTAATATAAAAAATAAAAAATATTATATATATAATTAATAAAAAAATAAAAAAAATATTATATATATAATTAATATAAAAATTAAAAATATTATATATATATAATTGGGGTGGGGATACCTTGCCTCGAACCCGAAAAAATATCTGATACCCGACCCGACCTGATTTTATTCAAACCCGACCCGACTCGAACTTGATCGGGTTTTCCCGTCGGGTTCGGGTCATTCTACCATCTTAAAAATCATGCATCCATC